GTGTGTGTGTGTGTGTGTTTGCAGCATTTGTCTAAGAATAAATTAAAATCTGAGCCATATTCAATGCAATATGAATAGATTATGTCTTCTTGTTTTTGCATTTCTATGTTACTCATTTACATTACATTAATGTTTGTAACACGGTCGAGCATTTAGCACCGAGGAGTATTGAATGTGCGGTTTTGCTTCAGTGCTGGTTGGGAAAATGATTCTTGTTTCGTTCGTTCTTTTCTTTTGAGAGCACATATGTCAGTGGACTGAAATGACCCTGTGAGCTCTGCAGTAACCTGTGCTGATATTTGCAGGACATGATGCTTTCCCAATTATTTAAGGGGACATTGTAAAGAGTCATGATCAGCCATCATAGAAGTCTGGCTCCCAAAGTCCCAGCTTACGTTTACTGCGGTGGCTTTTCTCCCTTTCCCTCAAAATTCAAACTATTAGTCGCCAACTTGTGTCCTCAGGTCTGCCCTCAGGAGGTTGGTTTGAAAGAAGGTTTCCGGTGCATCACAGATTGGCTCTGGAGTCCCTTTAGTGTCATAGAAAGCAGATATCCTAATATGGTTATCTCAGGAATGAGTAAATATGTATTAACAGGGTGTTGGTGCTTTGCAAGCACAACTATTCCTGTGCAAAGACAATCCCGCAGAGGCACCTATTTGTAAAATATATGGAAAATTTAAGAGCGGTAAAAACATTTGGAGTAGGAATACAGCTTGGGTCTATTTTCACTGCACTCTTATCAACCAATCAGATCGATCAGATCTCTCTGCCCTGTTTTACCAAGGGTTAAAACGTATGATGAGTAAAGACTCTTTTATTCCAGAGCTGTGTTGTTTAAACCCTTCGAATGTTCTTAGAATTTCTTGACTGAATCCACACTTTAAACATTCAGAGCCGATGTCTCGCTCTCTTTCTCTGCAGAGGTTTCTTGTTGTAGGATGGCTTCCACAAGCCAGATATCAAACTCGGTGGCCTTCCTCCGAATTTCAGCAGATTACGTAACGGACAAAATGTGTGTAAAATAAAACCACAAACTGATAATTTCCAGAAAGTGACTGTGCTCATGTAAGCTACGTTCATTCTGAGCAGCACACACACACACACACACACACACACACACACACACACACACACACACACACGCAGGCTTGTTATCACTCTTTCTATTTAGTAGAAACATGACTTTGAATTAAACTGTGTCTATCATCAGCGTTGGTTATGCATGTTCTTTATTTTCTTACCTCCCTGGGATTCTGTTCTGGTAATGGCATAAAAAATGGCATTATTGATGTTTAAACTGTTCAATTGTTATAATTTTAAATGATTTATACTAAAGTTTCTTCTAAGGCTGGGCACGTGGTTTTGTTTTGTTTTTGTTTTTTTGCTTTTGTATTTTATTTTTCTGCTACTGATGATGATGATGATGATGGGATTACTTGAAGTTTGTTGTTTTTATTTTGTCATTTGGTAAAAGAAGATGTGACGCTGTTGTCTTGGTGTCTGACCTCATTTCCTGTTTGAGCGGTTGCCAGGGAAATCCCCTCAACACCAGTTGTTACTTGTCAAAACAAGCTGCTTTTTTAAGGAAGACACATCTTTGCAAAGTCATGCTGACAAGTGCAGAAATTTGAAAACAAACAGCAGGTGCGAAGGAGTTCACATGTGGCTCCTCAGTTCAAGATTACATGACAAAAACAAAAGCAACACATATATATAACTCGGTATGTGTTAGCAACACTCAAAAAGGCTGAAATATGCTGATGTTTGCTAAATGTAAGACAGCACTGGATAAAATACTGGATCAAGTGGTGACACATAATGTACAAATCTG